AGCGCCCTGTTCGCTTGGCTTATAAGCCATACTTTTTCAGCCAATAAATAATATGTTTCTCTCATAATAAATCAGCCAACAGTATTTTCAATCATGACTTATCAGCCAAACAAACGAACAGGGCACTTTGGCATGAGCTAGCCTGGCTTAAAATTTTAGCCTGGTTGGCCTAGCCACTAGCCAGCAGAGTGCGGCAGAGCAGAGCAGGGTGGTCGGCCCCCACTCACCGCCAGAGCAGAGTGCGTGTCTTCGTGGTACATTTGCAGCCTCTGAGAGATGGCACATGCTGATGCCTGCCTCTCCACTTCTTCACCTTTTATGCTTCTTCAATGACTGTGGGGATATATCCTCCGGTATCCATAAGATAAGATATGGGCCGCACCATCAGGTGATCCAGCCCACAAAATCAAGACGTGTACGGCACTAGTCGATGTGCACCGCAAGATATTATATAGTACCAAATAGGATATTTTCTTGTAACCCTACCCCTCCAGAGTATATAAGGAGAGACAGGGGTCCCCTAGTCGACATCTACATACATCCCATATTCAATACAATATAATAAAGACACATGACGTGGGGTATTACGTTGATCAGATGGCCCGAACCTATCTAAATCACTATCTCTGCGCTTTGTGTCACCATCCGGTTCCTGATTTCGCACACCCCCATGGACAAATCTACCGTCACGGGATATCTCTCGGTGGACTGCCGACGATATTCTGTCGATAGTTGGCGTGCCGGATAGAGGCTGTGCGTGCTGATCCCATAACGAACCAAATGACGTACTTCAAGATCATCTACACGTTCTCGGCGATGGCCCGTGCATCCAACCACTCGTACATGCTGCCGTTGAGGAGGTGCTCGAACAACAGCAGGCTCGTTGCGACGCTCAATCTCGAGCTGCCGCAGGGGAACTGCTTCGCTATGTTCACATGACTGGATCGATCTCAGGGTGAGCCAAATCGAGCGAGGAAGCTGGGCTCCATTGGCAGCCGTGGTGTCGCTGTTTCCCTCTGCTCGATCGCTCCATCTACAGTGCGGTGGGCGACATCTCAGCTCTCCAGATCCAATCATGGGACAACAAACTACACGATGGCATGACTCTCGTCCTCCGATCGGCCCCACTTGGTTTCGACAAACACGCCGAGCTGCACCTGTACGGGACTACGGGCAATCCTATTCTAACTGACTCAACATGCACGGGAGTCCAGCTCTGACTCGCAACATGCAAGCCAGACAGATCTTGGCCTCTTGCATGTGTATACGTATCTACGTACATGACTTACTCGAGTACAGGAACAAGCATGCACGTATCACATCCTGATTCGTGTTGTTCTACCTCCACGACTTCAGATCTGTGCCTGATACGCCTGATATGATACTCGGACGTGCATGCATGCTGGGGCCTGGACCAGACACCTACGTATCATCTGTCAAAAGCAAGCACGCTTCGGACACGTCCCATCTACTCCACTATACAACATCGTTTCTCCGACCAGTCAATGATCTCCTCGAATCTGATCTGCCTAAGATTGATCAGCGATATAAGGACGACGTCGTCCGGACTACTTACTCTGACCACCTGTCGTGTCGCAACGATGATCGCCGCGAAGAACGGCGCCGTGACAACTGTGACCACCGCCATGACGATAAGCCGAAAAGCTCGAGGGTCGAGCAACATCATACACCGCCGACCAGACGTTTTGACTAAAGCTAAATACCTCTCCTATATCTGCGTTTAATACAACTTTCTCCAATTATTTTCTTCGAGTTTTTGTCATGATTCTCCAATTATTATTTGTTCAGTTATTCTCCATAACTAAATATCTCCACGTTTAATATCTCCATGTTTAAGATGCTCCATAATGCAATATTTTGAACATATTCTCCGTAAACTCGCCGAACAGCCATGTTCTCACTTGTGTTACCAGAAACAGTCATGTTCTCGATCTCACTCCTACACGTGCACGAGCGCCAGCGCTCTGCGTTATGGGTGGTCGGCAGTGGCTCCTCGGCGACGCCTATGCTCTTACGCGTACACGGGTGCCAGCTACTCCGTGCCATAGAGTTTGGGCTAGTTAGGGCTGATGATGCGATGCAAAACCAACTGATAGGAAGTTACTTATATTTAAAATATGAACACCTCATACAAACATAATGTCTATCAATTTCGCCCTGCTGCCTTCCGCCTTCATCGCCGAGTCCATATATTTATTTCTACATCATGTACTACCTATTCTATATATTTGTATTGTAGAATTATCGTCCAGGTGATCAGACCACCTGGTGCTTGGACTTCTCCACCGATCAACTGGTCGAACCGCTAGGTTTATGGACTTCGTCGCCGACCAGTTGATCGGACTGTTCGTCGATCGCTTCTACTCAATGCTCACTTCGCCGCCAACCAGTTGACCGAACTGTTCGTCGCTCGTGCTTCATCATCAGCTACGCTGGGGCTTACCAGCTAAGTCGGGGACTAGCTGAGGACTCCCTTGGTGGACGGATCTTACTATGTCTCATCGATGTGCTATCAAGCTTCTCCATGTTATTCGGATCAGGGTGCTGATCTTGGACAGCACGTCTGGGGTCTTGATACGCGCATGTCAGATGACGTTGGTAAGCTTTGAGACTTCTTTTCTTTGACTCTGCTACAAGATTCATTCTCCATCTTCCAGCAGACTCGGGGACTAAGTGGCTATACTTCACCTGACGGTGAACGTAGTGCTTATTTCTTCATTTACCCCCCTTATTGACGGAGTCTAAGTGGCTACACTTTTCCTAAGTGGAAGAATTTTCAAATTTTATCTTGAGCCCCTTACATCCTTCTAGCAAGCTTTACTTGGCTAAGTCCGAGGTCTCCTAACCAGTTAAACTGGTCGGCATTGATTTTCACCGCCTAGGTTACCAGTTAAACTGGTCGGCTTCGACCTTTACTGTCCAGGTCACCAGTTAAACTGATCGGTTTCGACTTCCACTGCTCGGATCATCAGTTAAACTGATCGGCTTCACGTCAAAGTGCTCGGACTTGTTCAAGATAGCGTTGCTCAAAGGATATAAAGCGCTCGGGGACTAGCTGTGGGAGATATGACCCTCGGTATCTATAAGACAAGATATGGGCCGCACCATCAGAGGTGGCCCAACCCACAAGATCAAAGCATGCATGACACTGGTCGACGTGCACCGCAAAATATTGTATAGTACTAAATATGATACTTTTCTTATAACCCTATCATCTAAAATATATAAGGAGAGGCATGGATCCCCTAGTCGATATCTACATACATCCTATATTCAATACACAAGACGTAGGGTATTACGTTGATCAGTAAATCACTATCTTTGCGTCTTGTGTCATCATCCGATTTCTGATTACGCGCACCCTAGTGACAAATCTATCATCACGGGATATCTTCGATGGAGCTGTAGACGATATTCTGTCGACGATGACCGTAGGGGAAGATTCCAAGGATTTGGTGTTGCCGAATAAATTCTCCACTTCTTCAGTGTCCTGTCCATCGGGGGTTTGCTTTGGTGGTGCCAATAATTGGAGGAAGGAATAGAGAGGATGCTTCAGTAGGAACCAGTGACTGCTCTTTGCGTTCTCAGCCGGCGCTTCTCTTTCTGCACCCTTCCAAGTCGAATTTGTACACTATTTGCTTGGGTGAGTTCAATGGCTTCAGATGTGTTCATCTTCCTCTCTACTTTCATGACTGATTTAGTGATCTGCACCGTTTTTGTTGGATCTTGCTGGTTGAAGAAATCCTGTTCGGACTGGAAGTTCGCTTTAACACCATCTGCAAGATTTAATGAAATGATGCAAGAATTACAGGATAAGATCTAGCTGGTTGAATCTACAGAGTTACAGACTGATCTATATATAAACTTTCTGAAAGATTTCATTTCCCGCTTCAGAAATGATGCAAGTGGGAGGAGAACAGAGAGCATGCTTTAGTACGCACTGCTCTTTTGGTTTTCACTTTCCAACAGCTCATCTGGTTCTCTGGTCCTTGTCAATTTAATAAGCTCAACTTAATCAATTCGTCAAGAAAGGTTTCAGACATCTTCATATCTTTTCACTTAGTTCACTACTGATTTGTGTAATTGCATATGTTGAAATTCTTTTTTTTTTGTTTCAGAGAAAAAAGTCTTACAGACAGATAGTGGTCTACATCTGCATCACTCTGCTGTCAGTTCCTCTAGCTCTCCCATGTTCAAGGATTGTTTTCTATGGAGAGCTCCAGGGAATCCAGATAGTCAAGAAACAGTTATGATTTCATTCTATATTTTTTCCTAACACATGCCAGATTTGCACGTGCTAATCATATAGTGAGAGCATAAGTTTGATGCTGAACAAAGCACCCGTTTCTGTCGTACCACTGCTTCACAACATCCAGTTGGGATCAGCAAAACTTGCATTGACAAAAATTGCATCCATTTACAATCAGTGCATATTAGCTAAGCATATTCAGGTATGTATCTTTTCTACTTCTAATATATCAGATTCACTAATGACGATTCTTCTTGTTGTCTACAAAACTATGAGTTATATCTATTGATTCAATCAAGCTTTCATTCACTCTACTTTTTGCAGGAGGTGCCAAAAGTGCGATAGATTGAGAGTCCTCTGTTATCTATTCTATATATACCTTTTGGAAGATACAGTTTGTAAGGTAAGAGCCGTAGGTGTGCTTCTCGATATTGTTTGGTTGCTTCCACGATGTTCTTTTTTTTCCTAAGAAATGTTTCCCTCTTTTTGCGGAACTGTTGGTACATACATCCATGATGTTACTAATGTCGAAATTATGATACAATACCTTTTAAGATAGTTTTTTTTTCCTATAAGGAAAGAGAGAGTACATCGGCTTTTAAAAAACAATAAGGTGGTATATGTTAAATTTAGTGAATGTTATCCCATTTTGAGACCAAAGTTAACACGTTTTCTTATTCATTGCCAGCCTACACCTCTTTTTGTGCATCTCCCTAAACATCTTGGTCTGATGGCAACCATACTTGAATCTTTTGTTGGATCATGTGCCAAGAAGTTGCAAGATATTGTTACAGAGGAGGCCATACTAATTTTAGGTGTTAAAGAAGAGCTCATAGAACTGCAGAGAAGAATGGAGCAAATACGATACTTTCTTAATGATGCAGAGCAAAGGAGCATAAAAGAATCAGCTGTTACCAATTGGCTTGGTCAACTAAGAGATGCTATGTATGAAGCTGATGATATCATTGACTTGGCCAAATCCAAAGGAAGCAAGCTATTGCAAGGCCATTCTTCATCATTATCAAGCAGTTCAAATACATGCAGTGCCCTTTCCCTTTCCTCTTGCTTTTCTAGTATTCAGACACGTCATGAGGTTGCTGTCAAGATTAAAAACTTAAACAAAAGAATTGATAACATTTCAAAGGATAAAATATTTTCTTCACTCAGGAGTACAGAACCAACTTGTAACAGTTTTAGCACCAAATCAGAGAAGAAGTTCTAGCCTTGTTGAACCAAACCTTGTTGGTAAGGAGGTCATACATGCTTGTAGAAAAGTAGTAGATCTGGTGCTTGCACATAAGGAAAATAGGTCTTACAAGCTTGCTATCGTTGGAACGGGAGGAGTTGGTAAGACAACACTAGCACAAAAAATATATAATGACCAAAATCTAAAAGGGAGTTTCAACAAACAAGCCTGGGTTTGTGTTTCCAAAGATTTCTCTGAAATAGCTATTTAAAGGAGATTCTTCGAAAAATTGATGTACACTACATGCAAGACGAATCAACCGATGAGCTCCAAAGGAAGCTACAATTGGCCATTAAGGATAAGAGTTTTTTTCTTGTGTTGGATGATGTGTGGCAGTCAGACACATGGACAAATCTACTCAGGATCCCATTGCATGCTGCATCCTCAGGAGTAGTTCTATTGACAACTCGATTTGACACTATTGTTGTAGAAACTGGAATGGACTATACACATCGAGTTGATTTAATGTCACTGGATGAAGAATGGGAGTTACTACGGAAGAGCATGGGCATCAAGGAAGAAAAAGAAGTACAAAATCTACATGACTTAGGGATTGATATTGTTCGCAGATGTGGTGGTCTTCCCCTTGCAATTAAAGTTATCGCTAGAGTTTTAGCAAGCAAAGATCAAATTGAGAATGAGTGGAAGAAGATTTTGGTAAAAGATGCTTGGTCCATGAGTAATCTTCCTAGTGAAATAACAAGTGCCATATATCTAAGCTACGAAGAGGTGCCACAACATTTGAAGCAGTGTTTTATCTATTGTGCTTTGTACCCAGAAGATTCGGTAATTTACCGTGAGGATGTGGGTCGCTGAAGGCTTTGTAGTTGAGCAAAATGACCAACTACTTGAAGATATAGCGGAAGAACACTATTATGAGCTGATCAATCGATATCTACTCCAACCAGATTATTACTACGCTGACCTTGGTCGATGTAGAATGCATGATCTATTAAGGCAGCTTGCTTGTCATTTATCTAGAGAAGAACTTTATGTTGGTGAGGCTGAGTCAATAGGGGTTAATGTTATGAGTAAATTCCGACGTATCTCAATTGCCACTACGAAGGATATGGTGGTGTTACCTAGAATGGATAAGGGGAAATGTAAAGTGAGAACTTGGACAACGTCTTTTACAAAGTCTTTGAGAGTCGATGATGCGCTATTTGAAAGATTACCATGCATTCGACTTTTGGATTTGACGGGTTCACATATACAAAATATTCCATCTTGTATTGGACGTTTAATCCATCTACGATTACTAGACCTTGATGGGACTAACATATCTTCTCTTCCAGAGTCCATCTATTGTTTCATAAACCTTCAGATATTGAATTTGCAGGGGTGTGATTCTTTGCGTAGTCTTCCTTAAGGAATAACTCAGCTATGCAAATTAAGGCGCCTTGGCCTAAAGGGCTCACTAGTAAATGAGGTTCCAAAAGGTATTGGCAGATTAATTTCTCTCAATGATTTACAAGGTTTTCCGGTTGGTGGTGGCTCTTATAACAATTCTAGAATGCAAGATGGATGGAACCTAGAAGAACTGGATCAGCTTTGGCAGTTGAGGAGGCTTGATATGATCAAACTGGAAAGAGCAGTTCCTCCTAGTAAAGGCTTATTGCTAGAAAACAAAAGGCATCTCAGAGAATTAATGCTACAGTGCACTGAACACATACATGAGCCATATTCTGAAGATATAATAATCAATGTTGAGAAAACTGTTGATATGCTAATCCCTGCGCACAACCTAGAGGATCTTTGTTTTCAGAATTTTTTTGGTCGGAGGTTTCCCATCCGGCTCGATACTGCTACTCATTTGCCTTCACTGAAATACTTGCAGCTCATAGATTGCAAATCATGTGTGCATCTTCCACCAATCGGTCAGCTCCCCAACTTGAAATATCTGAGAGTCCATGGAGCCACTGAAGTTTCCAAGCTTGAAGCATTGATCATCGAGGATATGCCCAACTTGGAGGAGTGGTCCTTTGTTGTTAAAGAAGAACAGAATGCAACAACAGAAGGTAGGGAAGGGAGAGCGGATGAGGTTGTTGCAAAGCAAAAGGGTGATGCCCCACCTACAAGGATGCAGCTGCTACCACGATTGAAGGATTTGGTCCTTGACCGTTGCCCCAAGCTGAGAGCTCTCCCACAGCAGCTTGGACAGGAGGCCACCAGCTTAAAGGAGCTCCAATTAAGAGATCTGCACAGCCTTAAGGTGGTGGAGAACCTCTGTTTCCTCTCAGAGATCCTTTTAATCATAGATTGTGAAAGCCTAGAGAGGGTCTCAAATCTTCCCCAAGGCCTTGTTTAGATTGTAAATTTTTGTAATCTGGACACTGTAGCATGTTTTGTTTGTATTTGATAAACTTTGTCCGATCATGGACTAACTAGGCTCAAAAGATTCGTCTCGTGATTTACAACCAAACTATGCAATTAGTTACTTTTTTTACCTACATTTAATATTCCATACATGCGTCCAAAAATTAATGTGATAGAGAGAGAGAAAAAACTTAAAACTTTGATGTAATCTAAACAAGTAAGAAGAGAGCTGCGTGTAGAGGGGTGTCCCAACATGAGGTGTGTTGACAGGTTGGACAACTTGCGCCAGCTGTTTCTAACAGAGATTATGCAAGATGTTTCCTCACAGTGGTTGCCTGGGCTCCAAGAGCAGCACCGACAGCTTCACGGAGAAGACATGGATGCCTACACTTGGACATGGTTAACATATAGAGATTCCCAATCAGGCCCGGTTTAGATCCAACCCAAAATCTAAAATTTTTTAAGATTTCTTGTCACATCAAATCTTGAGGTACATGCATGGAGCATTAAATATAGGTAAAAAAATAACTAATTACACAGTTTGCTCGTAATTGGCGAGACGAATCTTTTAAGCCTAAATAGTCCATAATTGGACAATTTTTGCCAAATACAAACGAAAGTGCTACAATAACCAAAAGCCAAAAAATTTTCGCATCTAAACGGGCCCTCAGATGGGTATGAAGAAGTAAGGTATGACATTGGCTTCTGCCCTGTTTGTTTGGGCTTGTTTGACTGATAAGTTATGATTGAAAGTATTGTTGGTTAATTTGGTGTGAGAGAAAATTTTTATTCGTTAACTGAAAAGATATGGCTTATAAGTCAAATAAGCCCAAACGAAGAGAGTGTTCATTTTCTAATTTGGTTATATCTCCACCTAATCTACTTTCAATTATCCGGTTTCTTTTTCTTTTCTGGTCATTAGGCGTTGAAGACGGAAGTGACTAGCCTTGTGTCACTAATGTCATGGTGCGGGAAATTATCTATCAGGTGTCTACCCATGGATGTCTAAATCAAGCTGGGCAGACAATCTAGTCTCAATCTTTACCCTATTCGTTTGGTCATATTTAGCTTATAAGTCATGGCTTATCAGTCAACAAACAGTATTTTTCTTTTACATTAAATCAGTCAACAGTACTTTTAGCTATTACTTATAAGTTAAATTAACCCAAACAAACAGGGCGCTTGAATGGGCGGATTGTATCAAGCTGATGCAGGGAGTGGCAGATTGTTGTGCTGTGCTTCAGTGCTTCTAGAGGAAGGAGAAGATACCAGACTTATGAAAAGCTGCAATATAATAACCAGTGTTGGGTATGTCGTACGCGTGCATGTCTGCAACTATTCGAGTCTTTCGGCTTTTGTGAAGTTGTTAGGTACATACGTTTGGCTGCTATATATGTGCTTGTGCATTCTGAGCACAACCCTTTTTACATGACGACAGCATGGATGTTGCTATCCTCCATTTTTGTCATTCATCATTGGCTGCACCTGTGATGGAAAACAGAAAAAAGAAAGAGCACAAGGTGCATTTTGTTTGAATTAAATCAAAGCAATCATTTCAAGTTTCCATTTTTGAATTAAATCAAAGCAACCTCTATACCTGTTCGGCAGGACTGAAAAATAAAACAAAATACTATTCCGGCTGATTGTTGTGAGAGAAAAATATTATTCTATCTGAAAACACTGTTCACACAAACAGTGATTTCGTGAGTGGGCTGGCCAGCCAGCCACCAGCTAGCCGAACAGCCCCTTAGTTTTGCCCGGCGTTTTCCATGTGCTGATGTGCATGACCTTAAGTTTTTCAAGCACGCTGTTATCTCTGACCAGATCATAGCCTATACCCTTGTCTTCATGTCTTTACTGCAGTCATGTCAAGGCCTGCTCGTGGAGGCTATTGATGACATTTAATTTCAAAATAATTATCAGCATGTTCGTTGACTCGTATACGATCGTAAATTATAAGCTGTAAGAGTATTTTTCTCTCATACCAAAACAACCAGCAGTAAATAATTCACGATCGTTTACGACGAAACGAACAGGTACTACCAACCGCCGGTGCGTTAGTGAAGGTTGATTTTTTTTAGAGGAAAGTGAAGGTTGAATTACCAAATCTATGAGTTTGTTTTGAGAGGTTTTCATGGAGAATGTGACGAAGTTGATCGCGTGCTACTTTGTACACACTGGGTTCCGTCGTCAGTTGCGCACGTTCCTCCTGCATGCTGGGCCTCACTCAAGGCGTTGTGCGGTGTTCTTCCCCTGCTTCATGTCCATGTCACTCCCGGATTCTAATTATTTCAATCTTATATAAAATGTCTATAAGGAAATTAATAAATTAAAGTATGTAAAAATATTATTCAAAAATAGCAAAAATAAAATAATGCATTGAAATATAATTTATAACATCAAATACATAAGATACAAACTAAATCAAGACAATATTAAATTAGAATTAATATCTATATTTAAATACTGAACTTTTATATCATCAGTCATAAACAATTTGTGTTGGAGCGGAGCCCTACCCTCAGAAGGTTCCTCGAAGCTAACTCTTAGGGCTGGTTTGGTTCACTCCTCACCTCCTAAATCTAGTATTATTTAGTCACTTTTTACCCAAATATTTTGACTAAATAGGACTAAATGACCTTTAGCCAACTAGTCACCCAAATATTGCTAAAGGGGACTAAATCCCACTCTGGACAGTGGGTACCCCTCATTATTGCCCCTGTCCGAAGCCACCACCCACCCGCCGAACTCTATCCGCTCAGCTCGCTCACTCTCGCCCTCTCGCTCTCGCTCTCCGCTGCTCTCCCCGTCGCCACCCCGACTGCTGTCCACGCCGCCGCGACCGTCCCCGCTCCTCCCCATGCCTCTTCCGCCGCCTCCGGTCCTCCCCACGCCGCATTCGCCATGGACGGTTATGGTTCCGAGTATCCAAACTTTTTTTCTCGGTCGTCTTCTCCGGTGGATCCCATGGCCTCTTCTCTGTCGTTCTCCCCCAACGCCGACAACTTCGTCCTCTTCTCCCAGGCGTTGCCGTATGGTCCGGGCTCCTTTGCTCGGCGCATCGAGGGGCTGGATCTGAACTCCGACGCGGACGGCTACCCCCACATCGACTCGTACCGGGGGCTTCTCCAAGCGGACAGCGTTCCCCGCGGCCGAGGGTTACCTCCTCTTCGCATTGGCACCAGGTCCGGCGGTGTCCCGTTCATTCCTCCTCGCACGACCGGAGGAGCGAGCGGATCTAGAAAACGCCCGGCGGCGCGCGCAGCAGGGCGCTGCACCAAGGCTGCATCCTGCAGTGCCCGTGCCGGATCGACGGCCAACCGCGTCTTTCGTGGATCAGTGGTTGCCGACAGCTCAATTCCTCCAATGGATGCATACGACGCTCACACAATAGAGCAAGAAGATGACAACGGCGTTGAAGATGGGGTAAGCTTGTACATGTCTGATCTGATTTGCTATGATTTGCTTGTCTGATTGCTATGATTTACTTGTCTGATTTGCTCTAATTTGCTTGTATTTGTCTGATCTAATAGCTTGTATTTGTCTGATCTATTAGCTTGTATTTGCATGATCTATTAGCCTGTACTTGTCTGATCTATTAGCTTGTATTTGTCTGATCTATTAGCTTGTACATGTCTATATTTGTATGATCTATTAGCTATTTTTGGTATTGGTCTGATCTGATGCTCTACCAGTTTGACAATGCAAATTGGTCCAAAGCAAATACATTTGTATTCTCTTGTCTTGCTATTGATGAAATGAGAAAGGGCAATACAAATAGTGGGACTATGACAAGGAGAGGTTACGATGCTTTGCAAGTCCTCTATGAGCGAAAGACGGGCCTTAGACATGATTTGAAACAATTGAAGAACATATATGGTCTGCTGAAGCAAATGTATTCTTTTTACAAGTAGGCAAATAACCAAACAACAATTGGCCGCCTTGCAAACGGAGGAATTGATGCACCACTAAGTTGGTGGAAAAAACACACCAAGGTACTCAAACTTTGCTTTGTTTGTTCATTATTCTGTCATTTCCACGTCACAGTTTGTATTTTTCTAATGAATCTTTCCTTTGCTTGTTCATTTATGTCTTTCAAAGGAAGCCGAGTGCAGGAAATTCATGCATGGTCTTGCTTATGTATTTTCCACAGATGCAAGAGCTTTTCTAGAACACTGTTGTTAATGGCTCTACATCATGCATCCCTAGACTGAGATGAGGAACTTGACAATGATGATGAAGATGCCTGTAACACCCTCGGTGTTATGTCCTAAACCAACTACTAAATCATGTCATGAGCATCGTGCTTGTGTAATAATGCATGTGATAGAATGTGTTGATAAATTTCTTGTAGCCTAAAACAACCAATTTTTATTGAGCAAAAACACTATAGAACACACATGTGACACTTAAATGAAGTTTGAAATATGAACATTGTAGATGACAGTGAAATACTTGCTGTTGAAAAATGATATTACTAGCTAATATTTTCATGCTTAGAAATCGCAAATTGAAATCAAATTCAGCACAAAACTTAGAAAATTTTCAAGTTTTTCAACAGCTAGACATTGCTAAGTTTAGCAATTTATTTAGAGAGATTGGGTTAAAGGGCGATGCGGTGTTTTAGCTCGGCTGAGCAACCTCATATATTAGTTTGATCGTGGTGAAATCGGTTTTGGTTTAGAGGCAATGGTTTAGTGGTAGTCGCTGCTTTAAAATCCGTGCATAGCACATTCTAGGGCTAGCCCTCTGGTGCGGTGGAATCACCAGTCACCGAGGCGTAGCTGTATTCTTAAGCGCTTTCTTCGCTTTAGTCGCTGACCCGACCCGAGGAGCATTGCTTGTTTGTTGCTTGCCCACGACCGAGCGACCCCCTACCCCTGCGTCTTTGTCGCAGCAATCAACCCACCTCGCTGCCCGTGACGTAGTCAGCCGCCATCATTGTCAGATCACATCGCACATCAGCGCTTCGTGCCTACGATTGCATCGCCTTTGCATTGCTGCTGCCACGCACCGCGTCTTTGCGTCATCGACCCGCTTTGATGCCACGCGCACGAGGCCGACCGCCGTCGCCATGCCATTTATAGCACTACGGCGCGCTAGCCACGCCGGTCGTGAGCATGCGTGCCTGTCGGTTAGCGTTTGGCCACGGGTCGCCCTGGTTGCGTCAACAGCGTCCCGCCAATGCTCGCCTTGTTGAGTCACCGGCCTCACCCCGTCTCTCTCTCTCTCTCCTTCTCTCTGCTGCCGCCGCCGAGCCATGCCAACACGCCTGTCTGCGAGGGGTCGTCTCCCATCAATTCCATGCACCCACAACTCTGTCCTCATAGCCTCTCATCAACCGCCCCCACTCCGCCTTGATTACGGCCAGGCCGAGCTCCAATTTTGGAGCTTTGCTCCCGTCGCTGCGCCATTAAGGCCCAGCCCACCTCACCGTGGCCAGCTCCAACCTCACCATCTCACGTCGAATTGACCGCACCACTAGCCCCGCCTAGAACCCCTCTTCGTTGTGCGCACCCAAGTCGTAGCCCTATAGTCGCCTCCACGCCGCTGACACGGTCGTGTCGCTGTGGTTCACCGTCGAGCTCACCGCGCGCACATGGCCAGACTTGCTCGGGGCATCTCCGGTCAGCCCACCGCCACGAGTAGGATCGTGGTGCGTCACTGATGCTTACTCGTCGCTTCTATTATCTGTTGCACGTTGTGGCTCACCGGAACATGGTTGCTGCCGCCGCAGGTCGCCCGCCATCGGGAGAGCCCACTCTGCTTCACCTCCGTTCGTGCAACCACTGCCCATTGTCGCGCATTGGCCCATAGGTGAGCATCGGTCCCATAGCTAGGTCTGCAAGGGTCCCGGTTGGCCAGCGTAACGGGGCCGTACCGATCCACGCCGTGTCGGCGAGCGCGGAGGTCGCGAGGACCTCCCCGATGCGAAGATAGCTTCTCTCAGGGTCTTTCGTGCATAAGTGCCGACTGAGTAAATAGGATGAATAGTGGCTGCGAGAATAGTAGGTAGCTCGGGGGCATTTTCGCTAAAACGCCAGCGCGCGTGCGGGCTCCCTACCGTGGGCCGCCTCCATGCGTGGGGCGCGCCCCGTGTGGGCCACATTAGGCCAGTTTGGTTCGTCTTTTTAGTAAAAAAATAGAAATGGTTTTGTATTTTTATTTAAGAACCAGTTTTGTGTAATTAATCTAAAATCATGTAGGTGTCCAAAAATTATGAATTTTTTTTGTTAGGTTCCTAAAATTATGATCTATCTGCTAGTATATTTTGTTCACATAGTTTTATAATATTTTCAGGAGTGATCTAATTAATTTAAGATGCTTAATATTATAAGATATAAACTTGTAGGAATTTTTGTGATGAATTGGTGATAGTGTTGGCTCTGAAACTATTACAGTCCCTAACATTATTAGATGCTCACTGTAAATTTTGTAGCTCCATAATAATTAGTTCGCTAAGGTAGCTAAATGAGCCCTAATTCGAAAATATATATTTAATCAATTAAATGCCAAAGCACCTTGGGATTTTAAAACTAGAACATTTTTTCGGAGACAAAGCCTTACTTGACGACGTGGATACGTAGACCAGTACGTTACTCATTAAATCTGGCCTGTTAGCTTGCGGAGCGTAATCGTATATTTAAGAGTTGCGGTTACCGTTGATTAATTGTGCCTCTGCGTTGTATCCACGTATATCATAATAGGAACAATGATGGATCATGGAGTCGACTGAAGTAGCAGAAAAGATGATGCCTTGATGATCGTGTCACTATGATGGAATGCGAACTTTTGGTTATATCTTACCTAGGCAAGTCCTGGTGCATAACACCTATCATTCTGCACTTTATTTTATGCATGTGCATTAAATTTTAAGGAGTTAGATAAAAACCACTTGCATATATATATCCTTACCCTATGAGTCCTACTAGTATATCAGGATCGTGTAGATTCCTATGCTATAGGATCCGGTAGACGTCGAGTGATTACCTGTCACTCGCGAGAGATAGGAAAGATATTATTGTTGTTATTATATTACTATCACATAAAAATATATATATATGGATGATAATTAGAGACGGGCAGAATGATACTTTGGATCTGGACTTGGTTAGGCATTCGAGCGAGGCTCGGATTGCACTTGTTCCGCTTGTGTCGATTGAGGACCGTCCGTTGATGTAGATGGTAGTCAGGTCACACACTTATTATCCTGAGCACATACTTGCTTATGGGAGCGGGAAGGCTCGTTATGCTCTTGTCATGGGTTCTGGCTCTTTCTGGACCGACTGATTGGAGGTGGGGAAAGGTGGAGGTCTAAGCACCATACTGAGACCGGGTCTCAAGGGTGGAGGCTTGGAGTCCAAGTTTGGACGAGGACCTAGAACCTGTGACAGGAGTGTAATGGGTTGGTCTTATTTGTGCCTGGGGTACAAACGGGGCATGTGTTTTGGGGTACCCAGCTGGGATACATTGATTCATGAATCATCGTTTCTATGAAACGGTACCGACTTGGCTATGGTCTAGCACCGTAGTAAGAACTGGAATATGAATGATGGCAAAATGATTCTGATTGCTCACCGCCTGCTTGAAAGTAGCATAGGAGCTTACATAGAATGGATAGTTAATGAGCTAATGATGACTGCAAATAAAATTTAATATAAGGACGCACATTTAGTAATGTTTCCGTAGGTGCAATAACCCACAAGCCAAATAAGTCTTGCATATCCTTGGAGCCTTTTGTTTTCCTTCTGTCGGGTAAGTCTTGCTGAGTACAATCGAGTACTCAGGGTTTTATTCTCCCTGTTGTAGATGATCGAAGGATACGTAGAGCTGACCCTTGTGTGTGGAAACCTCCTGGTGGGCTTAGAGAGGATTCCTTTCACGCTACGACCATAGTGTTTATTTATAACCCTTACTAAAGGTTTTTATAAGAAAAGATATAAAATCTGCTAGCATCTCTTGTATATAAATGTCCACTATGTTAATACTCCACCATGTCGTTAAATTAATCTTTGCTTCCTCTACAACTCTGATAACATTGTTAGATTCCGCTGTTATAATCAATTGAGGTAATATTCTACTACTGTAATAAAGTGATGTAAGAAATGACTTCCGAATGTTGTAAGCTTTATTCTCTTATTTATGATCCTGATGGAAAAATATGGATTCTCGAGTTCTCCCTTGGGGTGTGCTCGACGGAACTATGTAGTTTAGTGTCCTCTCTTGAGTACTTAGTGTATAATAGAAGATAAGTACTCCTGAGAGACATTGGATTAGGCGGTTCTGCCACAATGCCCCTGTAGATGAGGAAGGCTTCCAGATGAGTCTACCTAGTACCAACAGTAGCCACAAGAGGGCAAGCAGCACTACAAACACAGCATCAAGTCCAAGCAAGGCCAAAAAAGTTCCAGTGACTTACATTATGAGGGGCTGGTGACATAGTATAGGGTCGAGATGGCGGACTAGAGAGGGGTGAATAGTCATTTTCTAAAATTAACTGCGTCGGCTAACTGAAACAAGTGCGGAATTAAAATTATCGGTCTAGCCAAGACTACACCCCTCTATCTAAGTTCTCAAGCACTTAACAAGATCCTAATTAGGCAACAAAGGTATCGGGCTAGCTAGAGCTCACCTAATCAATTTTAGAAGCAAGGTCACACAAACATATGCAACTAGTACTTTAGCCAACCGGGGAGCTCCTACACAAATTAATAAGCAAAAGCACACAGCTCCTAAGCTCACTAGCAATACTCACTAACAAGACTACACAAGCCAAATTAGAGAGCTCAAATTACTTAGCTATACAGACTAAGCAATGTGACTAACAAGGCTACTCAAGCCAATTAGTCACACAAGGGAACTACATCTATGCTACATAAGCAAGAAGGTAACTAGCAAGCTACATAAGCTAACT